AGTTAACAAGTAGCTTTTGTTGTTAGCGTCCTGTTTTTTCTTTGGTGTTTACTGGGGGCGGAGTCGACCCCACCTGCTACTGGAGCGTTAACGACGATGCGGTGGTTCGTGATGATTTAAGGGCTAGTTTTGTCCAATTTTTCACATCTTGCACTTCACTAGTTTCAAGTCGGTGTGTGTGTGTGTGTGTGTGTTAAAGTCGAAATAATAACATAATGTTTTATAACATATTACAATATTACAATATGTAAATATTACTACAATTTATATGTAAAAAATTAGATAAAAATATATATTTAACACATGGTCAGAATGGCAGGCAGTGCATATCCAATAAATAATAACTATATATATATATATATATATATAAATAAAAAAATATATATATATAAATATATTTATATATATGAATCTATATGAATCTGCGACACCGTCCTAACACCGTGTTTCAGGACTTTGCCCGACAACCACTGCAAAAACAACGCTTGTCGCCGTTATGCTAACTATATACTGTTGTGCTGAACGAGTCCCAGGTTAGCAGCTAGCTATGGCCATAACGTGGAATGGGTCCCAGGTGCGAGAGTGAAGCACCGAGTAATTCAGTGCCACTCCAGCAGAAGGCCTATAAAGAGGCGTCGTTAATTTGAGTGGAAGTTGAACAAACACACACACAATGAGACGAGTGTGTGTGTGTGTGTACAAGCACTCAAACATGGGAACACACACACACGGACCCCACACATCTGTCAAATGTTGTACTGTGTGAATTTAAACATGAGCAGGAACACTGGTTTCCAGTGCAGGAACTAGAACCAGTGACAACTACTGACTGTACCAGGAACTACTGACTGTACCAGGAACTACTGACTGTACCAGGAACTAGTCTATGCTACGGTGGCAAAAATAGTATTTTGTTGTGTAACCTTTCTGTTATTTGTAATATGACGTGTTTGTTTATTTATATATATTTTGTTATATACTTTGTTATATATTTATATTTATTTTAGAAAATATCTATATATTTTGTTATATATTTATATATATATATTTTGTTATATATTTATATATATTTTGTTATATTTATATATTTTTTTGGCATTTCCGTTTGCTTATTTTTAATACAAAGTTACTTTTTGATCAGCGCGCTTACTTTAGTTTCAGATAAATGAAAACGAACTCTTCAAATATTCATACGAAGGGTCGTTTTAAGGCCTACAATCAAAACACAATTATATTATAAAGTGATTATACACTTATACAAGCGTACAAATGGGCACTATCATTAATTAGTGCCAATAAAAAGTACTCGCCGGCCCTTTAAGTACCTGGCACACGGAGGGCACCAGTGACACTGGTTATATATTTCTATGGAAACTTTAATGGCAGGAAATGAGCGTAAACGCTGCTATTTTGTCGGAGTACTCGCTGAGCAGTATTTCCAGAAGAAGTTTAAAAAACTGAAGTATTCATTCCTATTTGAGTGCTTTGACATTTTTTTATGCCTGCGCGTCGGTGACAGCTGTGGAATCGTGTCGGGAGGGTAGGGGGTTGTGGGAGTGGGAGGGGCGGGGGTGGGATTATCGGTCCTCAAACCCGTCTGTGCGTACATCCATATCACACGATATCCCATGATCCCCAGGAGGAGGGTTTCCTCAGAAAGACGACTAAAATTTGGAGTCAGACGACAAGACGTTATGACATTTTTGGGTTGTGAAAGGTCAAGGTCACCGCAACCTCACGAAACACATTTGTGACGATGTGATGACATTTTTATACCCCAGGGTTCAGGCCCACTTTAGCCTTTTTTTTTACGCTGGAACACTTCTTTTTTTTTTGCAATTTCTCAAGTAAGTCAGAAACTCAGGAGAGGGCATGGGGGGGGTGAGGGGGTGATGCTGGTATTTTCTGTCAGTTGACACGTTGATGGAGGGAAAACAACAACAACATTCAAGGCAATCATTTTAGCCTTTTTCCACCCTGGTCCCACAGGAAGTGGCGTTCTTCCTACAGGATCTGAGCGCTCTGTACGGCTCCTGTCCTGTGTTCCTGTTCAGGATGTGTGAGTGAGAGGGAGTCAAAGTGTGAGATGGGGGAGTGTGGATGGGTCTCAGTAGGAGTCAGAATGTGGAGCAGGAGCTCCCTGTGGAGCAGGGGAGGGGGAGATCAAATGGAGAACACTCTGTGGTCCTGTGCTGCCACACGTGTTCCGTCTGAGGCTGGAACTGTTTCCACTGGAACTGGAACTGTTTTGTACAGTTGTTGTTGGAGCCTCTGTCTGAGGACTTTCCGACTGACCCTTGTATTGTTATCTTGACGGTGGCTACTCCCACGTCCAGTTGTTATCTTGACGGTGGCTACTCCCACCTACAGAGGAAACTCACCTGTTTTTTTTTTTTTAACCCATTCCTATCTGTTTCCTCCCCCGTTCCTCCCCCCTTCCCTCCCTCTGGTGAAGTCTTCTCTCCCCTGCTGAGAGATGAGCGGGAATGAACAGGAGGGCAGCTGCACGTGCTCAGTTAACTCAGACCTCACACACACACACACACACACCGTTCCACACACACCATCTATGAAGAGGCTCACGGGGGTAATGACTCACTATTTATCAATGACAGAGTCTGTTTGACCCCCCCCCCACACACACACACACACACATACACACACACACTGACTGACAGCTCTCTCGTTGTACACTCTCTGTACTGACGTTTCTGATATAAATACTGGTATAAAAGTATTTTTTAAGTCGCACTAATAAAATATATATAAATATAAATTTAAATATATATAAATATATATTTAAATATATTTAAATATATATTTATATATTTAAATATATATTTAAATATATATATTTAAATATATATTTAAATATATAAATATATATTTAAATATATTTAAATATATATTTATATATTTAAATATATATTTAAATATATATTTAAATATATAAATATATATTTAAATATATTTTAAAAAATGTTGGCAGTTTAAAGTGAATGTACTCATGGTGGTAATTTACACAACTATAAAACAATATATGAAGTTGTATTTGCCATTTTACACACACATACACATATACACACACACATATATAATATACATATATACACATACATGTACAGATTAACTATGACCTCTAACCCAACTGTTAACAGGAGTGAATGGGTCGAGCTTTGGTTGCTTGTTTGCCACACCACAATCTTACCAGGGCTGGGATTCAAACCAACAACCCACTGCTCACATGTCTCATAGTTTAATGCAAGAAATGTGATATTTAAAATTCAGAGCCTGAACCTTTGACTGGAAGCAGTGTGTTTAGTTCTGTAAATATACAGAATAGAGGGAGGAAAGGAGGGGGAGACGGGGGGAGGGGGGGGAGGGAAAGACAGAGGAGAGGAGCGTCTGTTAGCGCCGGGGCCCTTGGGTGACTGGTTCGAGTCCCGTGGGATGTTTCCCCTCCGCTGAGCTCTCGCTGTCTGTTACAACCCGCTGTCACACACACACAGTTCCACCCAGACACACACACACAGACAGGAGGAGGAGGAGGAGGAGGTGTCGTCGGTGCAGCAGCTGAGTCCTCCGAGGACCAGACTCTTATTAAAACCACAGATCACTTTCTACAGGAGAAGGAGACGAGGAGGAGGAGGAGGAGGAGGAAGGAGGTGTGTCGTAATCTGAAACAAAATTACAGACACCCTCGTGCACTTTGGCCTTACTGCTGCACTCAAACACACACTCACACACACTCACTCGGTGTGTGTGTGTGTGTGTGTGAGTGTGTGTTTCTTCGCTGACTGACAGTAAATACTCCAAAACCTCCGTCCTTTTCTTCTTGTCCACTTTCCCTCGTTTGGCCAGAGTCCATCCCCTCCATCCACCTCATGCCATGCTC